AGATATAACTATATATATAATACAATTCATTAATTTTGATTTACAAGATACAGTCACACACTTATAGAATATGAAAACAAAAACTCACAAGTGATAGATTTCAATCAGAAAAAAGACCTTGAAGGTGAAATAAAATACCAACGGCCTCTTATAGAATTAGAAGAAGAGAGAAAAAGTTTACAAATGCTCACTAATTTTGGAGATAATTATCTTAATAACCTATTATTAGATGCTCAAAAGAACTCTCTTATGTAGAAATGTTTATGACTAATTAGAGATTAACAAATCAAAAAAGCATATAAGGAATTAAAATATCATCTCTCGCCTCCCCTCCAAAAAACCCCACTTTTAGGAGGCTAGAAGGGAAGGGGAGGGGAGAAGAATCCCTCCCCTCTTTAAAAAACATCTTAACCAAACGAGGGGAGGGGAGGAGCTCCCCTCCCTTTCTAAAAAATTATACCAGCCAAACAAGGGGAGGGGAGCAACTTCCCTCCCCTCCCCTCTGAAAACCCCGTACCAAACATGGCGTAAGTCGACGCTTCATCTTTTCGCCGCCCCGTTCTTCCACCATAAGCCGTCCGTCCTCATCAGCTAACTAATCAATTAACACTCATTTTATGACATTTATTTATACCCCTTTATGTTTTACGCCAGCATCTTTTTTTTTTTTTTGAGTCCCAATATTTTAAAAATGAGTTAATAAAAAAATTTGAAGGCCACAAAAATAACAAACATAGCAATTATTGAAGCGATGATTATATTTAATTTGCCGGGTCTACATGAATTATTAATGGGATATGTAGCGAGTTGACTATGCGTAAAATCATTGAGCTCTGGCTTCTACTCGCCATACCAGAGTCTGTGATCATATTTCATATAAAAAAGGGCCAAAAAAAAAAAAGCGGTCAGTGTATTAATTTGGTAGGTATTGATGTATTAATGTTAAATATTAATATTTGATCTCTTGATATAAACAAGGTGGGGTTCACACCGCCTTCACCGTACCGTCTCCATCAGAGGTGAAGCCTCATTTTCAACCTTTTTAATTAACAGAGAGAGCGCACTCTCACTCTGTTACGCATAAAGCCTGGCTAGCACAATTTTACCTCTCACGGAGATTAATTAAGTAGCGGCCTTTCGTTATCTGTCCTTCGCCTTAATGAACCCGGGTATAGAGTTAGAGTTCAAAGAGGGTGGGACAGCAAAGGAACATGTTATAATTAGAACAAATATATGCTTTAGTCCGGCTCACACCCAGTGTCTTGGTAATTAATTAAAAAACTTTTCTCAGAAGGCATGTTTAGAACAATTATATATATTAAGACAAAAAAATTTTCAAAATGATGAACATACTTAAAAAAAACTTCAAAATATATCACAAAATATTAAATATACTTAAAAAATATTGGATGCATCATGATACACACAAAAATACGCCCTCTCTGCTACTGTTTCCGGGGGCGGTGAAGACACGCTCAGTAATCAATGAAACTGAGATGACAGCATCAAGAAGGGAAGCGCGTGCAAGCTCATTTACGTACCAGATTAATCCTCCAACATTGCCCGTCACCACAGCACTGACGAGGAGTAAAAATCAGAAGGCAATATACTCCGTTCATATTGATTTCTTCCCAGTTCCCACAGCCACGAATTAGCTAAACATAATTATTTTGTTATGCTGCCTCCTTTTTCGAAATTGCAGTTGAGAGCAAGGGGGTGGTCCTCAGGAACCGGCAAGCTTGATTAATTTGTTTGATACTCTTCTTATATAACTTATATAAGACAAAAAAAAAAGATATTTTTTATCTTATTTAAAATGTACCGAGAGAAATTTTTAATATAGATATATAATTTAAACTTTTATTTATTATTATATTGATTTTATTTACATGAGAAATAATATATATTAAGTAAAAATAAAATTAAAAAGTATTTTAAATAAGGATTAACAAAATTTCAAATCGGGTTTGATTGTGAGTTTCGATGCGCTGCTTGTTTACACGCCATTGCACGATTAAACCTTTGCTCCTCCATCATTGCGCTGCTCACGTCACCCTCTTCCTCCCCCGCAGCCCAAAATTATTCCCTCTTTTCACTAGTTTTTTAAAAAAATAAAAACACATAAATTTGATCTGAGCTCCTCTGATTTGCCGTGTAAGACTACGCCACGCTTTAAAGTCAGTGCCCTCCTTCACTCTACCCCGCACTTCAGTCTCCGCCTACTGCGATTTGATGTCAAACAAGGCCTCCTGTGCCTGTTCATGGGTAGTAGTATTTTACTCCCTCCGTTCCTTATTATAAGAGACAAATAACCGAAGTACATTGATTAAAAAAATAGTTAAAATTAGTTAAGAACAATTAATGTGTAGAAAGTATAATTTTTTTTTCCAAAATGCCCTCATTATAAGGAGAGAGAATAATTAAATTATTAAAAGAAAGAGAAGTGGAGGGAGAGAGAGTGTGAGTTGGAGATAATAAATATGGGTAAAACAGTAAATCAACACAAAAAAGTAGAGACAACTTGTAAGTGTCTCTTATATATAAGAACATGTCATAAGCATCAAATGTCTCTTATAATAAGAAACCGAGGGAGTATTATTTTTGACTTTGGTCTCCCGGAACCTACCGCGTGGCACCAAAGAAACGCCTCGTCTGACTCACACGTGGCATTTCATGTACACGTGTCGTGTGATTAGGGAGGCCCCTCTCACCTCTTAATTAATTACGATTATCGTCGATGACGAATCCCAGTTCATTGTATTTAGTTGCGCCAAACGGAACGTAATAGGATAGCATGTCTTCCCCAACACCCGAGGCAATTTCGATCCCGTCAGCATCACACCCAAAAAATAAAAGGTTAGGCCCCTATTCTAGGGTACCGTTTCAGCCTTTCAGGACGTGTTTCTTTTGTCGGGGCCTGTTGGGCCCCTGCTCAAAGCGGTGTCGTTTCATCCCAGCCTGCTTCTTATCTGTTGTCCCGGGATTTCTCCGTTGCCGACGAAGACGCTTTACCGTGGATGCACTCGTCGTCCAAAACGTTTCCCTTTTTTTCTTTTTTCTTTTTTGCCACCGTCGTCCGAAACGTTTCCACTTACGCCTATTCCCGAATTTGCCCCCAGCTTTAAAGGCCGAGGAGAAGGACTCTGACAAAAAAAAAAGAAGAAGGGTAAAAATTAAAAAAACGAGCTCAATGATTTACGGTGAAAGCTGTGCCATCCCGTCCTTGGTTGCCAACTCGACATAGGTTTTTGTTTAGAACAGTTATAAGGTGTTTATAAACTATTTTTTAATAATAATTTATAGAATAAATATAAAAAAGTTTTGTCTTGATTTTTCTAAAATATATTTATAAGAGATTTATACTATTCCGAATCACATTAAGTTGGCTTGCCGTGGATGATTCAGAAGTTGCAGGTCCTGCCATCTGCGTGCTGTGCCAGGGCAAAGCAGCAGCCACTCGCTGCGGCCCGAGCCTGGCGTCCTAATCGCCCCTTTAATTCTCTGTTTGCACACTCGCCCCACCCACTAATTAAAGACGTAGCTTGTGTTGTGTTCCAGTTTATACCTACTTTGTAGTAACGATAAAGCTGAAGGTCATTTCCCATTTTCATTTCCAAGTTCCAACGGGAGGCTATGCTTATTACCCTTACCTAATTCTAACCCCGAGCGAGGTCAGTAACTTAATCACGGATTAGAACCGGAGTTAAAAATTCCCGTGGTAAAGAGGGACAACCCTGCAACTGGCCTTTTTGTTATCAACAGCCATCACCGCGGCTTCTTCGCAGATACCCACTATCATGTATCCACCTTCCAAAAAGCGGCTATTATTTCTCTCTTCTCTTTTCGGCTGCCGCATCCTATCCTCTCGCTTCCCTGTAATTTTCCGAGATGACCTAAACCTAACATCTCCTTAAAGGGAAAAAAAAAAAAAAAAACAGTATTACTCCTTAATACTGCTTCCGATTCTAATTATAAAAGCTAATTGACTAATTTGAAGAGATTAAGAAAAGAAGTTAAGTTAGTTATTTGTAATAAATAGGTGTTGTCTTTCTTAAAATATCCTTACTAATCAAGTACGTTGACAAAATTGAGTAAATATGAGAGACAAAATAAATTGGATCTTCTATTTAGGACCAATATAAAAGTCAAACGGGATCTTATATTAATGATCGATGGTAGTATAATATATTATTCTATCCTTTATTATAAGATTCAATTTTTTAAATAGATCTGTTTCTTTTTATAAGATCCTTTTTAAATTTGTATGAGTATTTAATGCATTATTACCTATTTTACCTCTAATTTAAAATATTTAATACATTCTCTTTTTTTTTATTTATCTCACTTGTACTCTATCACATTTACCTATTTATATATGGGGGTATATTTGAAAAAAATTACATTTGCTATATATTATTACTTTTAACTAATTTTAATTATTTTCTTAACTAGATAATTTAGTTAAAAGGATGTTATAATAAGGGACGGAGGAAGTAATATACTCCTCTAGTATTATTTATAAATCACTTTCGGTATGTTTTATACAGGTTAAGAAAAATTTTAAATTTCATCAACTCTCATTTAAAATTTAATAACTTTTTAACTTTATCTCTATTTAATATATATTATGCCTCATGTAAACAAAGTCAATACAATAATAAATAAAAGGTAAAATTATACATCTATATAAAAAGTTTTTCTCACTGCCTTAAAATAGAATAAAAAAATATCTGCTTTTTCTACCTTATAAATAGAACTAGAGGAGCAAATGCTAATTGACTAATTTGAATAGATTAAACCACTAACTTCACTATATTAAAGAAAACTAATTAAGCTGGTTATTTGTAATAAATAGATAATTTTTAAAAAAATATCCTTACTCATTAAATATATTAGGTATAATTATTATTATGAAAACTGTTTTGAACTGAGTCTTAATCTTGATTTAACATCAAAATAAAAAGTAAAACGTGATTAAGGACCGGACAGGTAGTATTTAGTTTTGTTGCGACCCTTGAAGTTTGAGCCATGGACATAACCCCCACAATCGCCAACAACACCGCCCCCAACACTCCTACCATTTCAAAATCCCCGGAACATGACAGTGAAACACCGACGAGGATCCCTACCGCCGCCAAGCCCTTGTGCTTCTCCAACGGAGTCCTAAAGCGCCGCCGCCGCCGCCGCCTCGCCGCCCAGCCACTGCCTTTCACGTACAAGGAATGCTTGAAAAACCATGCAGCCAGCTTGGGAGGCCACGCCTTGGACGGTTGTGGCGAGTTCATGGCCTCTCCCAGCGCCAACCCCGCCGACCCAAGCTCCATCAGATGCGCCGCCTGTGGCTGCCACCGCAATTTCCACCGCCGTGAGCCAGAAGAGCCTATCTCCACAACCCACGTCATCGAGTACCAGTCTCACCATCGACACCATCCCCCACCGCCTCTTCCTTTTCAGGTTCCCAATCGAAGCCCCTGTTCGGCGTCGCCACCTCCGATCTCCTCTTCGTACTGCCCGTCCGCACCCCACATGCTCCTGGCTCTCCCATCAGCCGGTATACAAGCTCCTCCGGAGAGCGCGGCTGCTCCCGCAAACGCTCTTGCAACGCCGAGCCCGAATGCGCGGAAGCGGTTGAGGACCAAGTTCACCCAGGATCAAAAGGAAAAGATGTACCATTTCGCGGAGAGGGTGGGGTGGAAGATGCCGAAAAGGGACAAAGAATTGGTTCAAGAGTTCTGCAATGATGTTGGGGTCAACAGGGGAGTGTTGAAGGTTTGGATGCACAACAACCAAGAATACTTTTGGCAAGAGAGATGTCGCTAATAATAATGATGGTAGGAACACCCTAGAGCAAGAACCGAACTCACACCCTCACCGTTGAAATCCACGCCACGACGACAACGGGAGCGCGCATGATCCGAATCATCATCTCTGCACCAACGATAATCCTGGGCCAAACCTGCGTACTAATGGGTCCTCTTCGTCCTCTTGAATCTTTGGTGGTGGATGAAAGAATCGATGAAAGGAAAGAGATAATATATTAGAGTAAGATCGTTGCTGGTTGATCAGCCGTTTCTTTTCTTCCACTTTTAATTTAGTTCTTATCAATGAGATGATCATGATCAACTTCTTCAGGATATTTAACGCGGCAGAGATTGATAGTCGGAGCGAATTTTAATTATTTACTGGATTCACCTTCTCTTTATGCTTATTAATGGTTCATTTAGTTGTTTTATTAGTCACTACTCCAACCCCGAGTTTTGTAAATGTCTTGTCCCCCCTCCCCCCTTCCTTCTGTCTGAGATGATTTTATTTTGCCTTCTTGGTCAAGCTTTAGTGTGGTGGTTGGGTTTTACTGAAGGAGCTTTAGAGGGTGATGAACTGTGAACTAGCAGTGTGATTATTTGATGTTCTCTTCTTAAGGGAAGGTGAAAGGGAATGATGCGCTTTTTCTCTTTCTCGGGTCAGGGAGAATATGATTTTTTTTTCAGAAGTTATGTCCTGGAGAAATTAAAAGGGCAGAAAGTTTGGCCGCGCAGAATTCAGAATCAAATTGTGTTGGGACCCGAGGGAAAGAGAGGCATAAACAAAATCATAGTCGTGTTCTAAAATGGAGTGCTATCAAGCTGTAAACTTTTCGCAGTCTGATTGCATCAGATCATGGTTAACTTCAGATAATAGAGCTGAATGCTGCAGCGAACAACGGTGACGTGGCAGAGGGCTCTTCAATTATTCTTTGTAATCAAGCACGCATTCCTGCCGCACTAATTGTTCCACGGTTTACAATGAGAAAGTGATGGAGACTCGTGGGATCGTACGTAGCTCGGGGAATCCTAATCCCATTATTTTAAGGTTGAAACAAGATTATCACATAACCTAATCGGACATAGTGTTGACGACATGAGCGGGGCATGTCCATTTAAGGGAAGTAGATCCGCTGTTAACGAAAATATTATAATTAATCCTGAATTAGGATAATGACCGGAGAGGGCGGCATAGCATTACGAAGAAGGATCTGGGTTATAGCTTGGAGGCCAATGGTCACAACCTAAGGTATGGGTGGTTTTTGTTTTTAGCGGGTTCACGTTCCTTGTTTAAATTTAGTACGTAGTTTTGGGGTCCGCACCACGGGCTTGTTATGGTTTTGGTCATTGCTGATGAGGTCAGCAATCTTGTATTGGTGCCCCTGAACAGCTAGGCATGGGGCTAGTCGTCCTTAGCCCTTGATTAGCCCTTCACAAAATGGGGACAATCTTGGAACTTCACACGGTAGCGATGAGGCCTTGTCTCAAATTCCCACTGAACACCCCACTAACTCACTGGCAGAATATGGCCATTTCATTTCATCTCTCTCCCTCCATCGTGTGCACATGCATACATGGTACGTTTAAACTTGAATCGCCTGATGAGAATTCCAACTTGGATCATCAAGTGAATTTATGAGTGCATTTGTTGCGTACCGTTGAATCTTAATTAGACGCGACAAAATCAGGAATCCTTTGAATGTTGGCGGAGTGTTGTTACTTATTATGATGGTGTGAGGACGAAATGGATAAAAATAGGGAACCTTGTTGAATTCCAAAATTCCCAGAGGCAGGCATCCTCGTGATACGAGATTGGTGTCATTCACGTAAGACGGGGTGCGGCTTTGCTTAACAAGGAGGTTAGGGGAATGAAGAGGCATGTGAATCAACGAGGTTAACATCACGTACAGCGAAGCCAACTTTATGTAGGGCGTCTGAATATTGCACCAGAATACTGTGTCCACTGATGTGACTCCCTGTATTCCTTTGATTAGATGGACGAGCCATTCTGTTTTTTCCTTTCAACTTTCTAACCTTGTCTTCCCCTTCCTCGCTCTTCTTCTTCGTGCCTTTAACACATTTTCTTTTACTCCTTTGGCCTCACATACCTTCATTTATTTTTCGTTAAACTATATAGATCGACATATTATATAACGATGGCGCACGCAATAAAATTTCAGCCCATACGGGTTACGCTCGCGCGTGTCTGTTGCGGGATGAACATGTGTGGCCATGAAATATAAATAGAACTTTAGCCATGTCAATAATTTAATAATTCAAACGGATTGGCCGATGTTGGCCAAGAGGAGGTGGGCTTTAGCTAATCCACGTGACAGAAACAACCTAACTATAACTGCTCTAAAGCAACTGCGTGTGAAAACACGTTGCATCTCTCCACGGGCTTAATGGATGCTCTTAAACTGCCCAAGTGCATCTCAGAAAAAAAGGAGGGAAAAAAACGGGTTTGAAAATGTAAAAGACAGAAACCGAACGTCATGTAGCTGTGAACCTAATTTTCCTGTAATTGTAGTCCCATCTGATTTGGGATTTGCACCACTAAAATGCTCTCCATGTGCTGCTACACACTATTCCAGATAAGCGCGCAAATTCGTCGAGCTCAAAACTTCAGAGATTGCTTAACTGCAATACTTGGTGATCTCACTTATACGTATGCAGATTTTCCACTTGCAGTCTTTGCAGCTAGCTTTTGAGGTCCAGAAGGTCGGTGTCTTAGGCTATTTTTCATTGGATTCTCACAGGGCGTCCCTCATCACTTAGTAGGCTGCTTTGGGGTCTCTTCAAAGAGAGTTTCATATGCACTATCTAGGGGCTTGGATTCTCTTTGACTTCGCGCGTAGGGTGGTGCCATACAGATAATTGTAGGCTTTTTTACGGAAATGCTTTGAGCAGTAAAATTGTATGTGCATATCATAGGTCGGAGTCACTTTCAAGAAAGCTCCATTGGGTAAGGAAAGTTATGCAGTCATTTCATGATCTTAATACATCTACACATGTAGGTCTCTTTATTGTGTTGAGCAGAAAAAAAGAAGGCTGCCAGCCTTAAAACCCTGGCATGAAGCATGGCTTTGTCCCTCTGCATCAGGAATGAAGGTTGAAGCCCCCTCCACTAGTATTCTTTTACCCAACATTCCATCCGCTGGGCGTGAGAAAATCAAGGACTGACCAATTTAATTTACCTATCAAAGTTTTCATCGTCAGTACAAATAATTCACTGACATCATTAAAAACCTCAATGACCAACCATAAATTATTACTAACTGCCATGCAAATTGTTCTTAAATGGGCTCATCGGAGTATAGGCACCTCTAGCGTGCTCTCTGCATATGATGGGATTAAGAGATTTGTATTTTGCTACAGACTGTTTGTCTTCAATAAATTTTTGTCCAAGAGAGTTTTTTTTTTGGGGGGGGGGGGGGACAAAACACCTTAGAAAAGCAAGCAAAGCAACGCGATGGAAAAGGACCAATCACGTTGGAGGTCAACAATGGACCACATAATTATTTTACAGCATAAAGATATACTAATGGACTCGCGAATGTGGTGGTCCATTGCGATTATAGTTTGAGGTCTATCTCTGACAATCTCCATCCTTAATATTCTTGTGCATCAGCTCGTGGGCCTTTTCACCGTTCTTTAATTTTAACATGCTGGTCCTCGATCCCCGCACAAACTTCGGATAGGGATTGGCATGATTGATCTCTTATATATCTATCCCCACACATGACATATCCTTAATTTAATTTCTGGAACTAATCGTTCCCACAGCCCGGGGCTCTCTCTTTCTATATATATATATATAATATATATATATGTTGTGTGGTATCTTTTGGGGACATTTATTCTCTATTTGTCCCTACCATCTTTTCCGCTCCAGGACATAATGGTTCTTCTCGCACTCGCTGTGCAAGGAAAGCCGCGCCATGAAGTAACAGAGCCTGATGTCTGAACTTTTTAAGCGAGTAAAGAGTTATTTTTCTTTTCATGTGGGTAAAAGCAAAATGAACGTAAGAAAGTCATATAGAGTATATTATCAGTTGTATTAGCGGAAAGCTATCAGAGATAAATATTATTGACAGGTCATTGGTGTCAGACGCTGTGCGTGGATTGGCAGATACATGAATGAAGTTTTATTTTATAATATATTGATTTGATATTAATTAATT